CCTGGCTAGCTGGAGACGCCCGCCCCCTCCGGCGGCAGCAGCAGCAGCAGCAACAGATTGCACTGCGCTAGCAACGTAGGTAAAGGGAGACAGCACTAGCTAATACGATGTTTAGGGTCTAGGGCTTGGCGTTCTGTAGGTGTACCTCTATGAATATTTCGATAGACAGATATATAGGGGTTGATGTATGCCCGCTCCACTTGCAACATAGACACATCTCTCCCATCTTCTCTGCTGGCATTACATGCGTTGCTGCTGCTTCTCGCCTACGGAAGCACCGCAGCGCTCGTGCTGCTGCTGTTGCTGGTCCTGTTGCTGCTATGGAGCAGCTCCATGCTGCCTTGTGCTGTCAAGCCAGCAGCAGATGCACACATATGCGAATAAAAGAAGTCGGTCTAAAGCCACGTTGGTTACTTGGCAAACAAAAAAGATATTCCGGTGCCTGTCTGTACACTTCGCGAGACTCGCGAGCTTCATAGAAACACAACAGGGCAGCCTACGGCGCCCAACTCCAGTGGCGGCAACAGCAACAGCAGCTGCTGTTGCTGCAGCTGCCAAGGCAGCTGCTGTTGCAGGAAACGGATTGCTAAGCCGGGTGCGCTATGTTGAGTGGCAGCCCTAGCTTTTGTTTACCTCAACGGTCGGTTGCAAAGGCGCAGCGGCATCTTTGAAGCCGTTGCTGCTGCAGTTGCTGCTGCCGTTGCTGTTGCAGTTGCTGCTGCCGTTGCTGATGCAGTTGCTGCTGCCGTTGTTGACGGTTGCAGTATTGCTACTGCTGCATGTGCGCTCCTGTATGTTTGAAGCGGTGTCCCGTCCGTGCGTGTCTTCGATGGGAAGGGGCCCCGTACCCGCAAAGGGTGCTTCCTGCTGTTGCTGTTGCTGTTGCTGTTCGGGGGGCCCCGTTGATTGCATGCGCTGTGCGTGTGCTGGTGTCTGTATTTGTGTTTGAGTGTGTTGCTGCATTTGCTTCTCCCCACTTTTAAAGAGGGCCTTGCGAAGTAAATAATCGCAGAGGGCCCCCGGACAAAAGCGGCGGGCCTCCGATATTGAACAGGTGCCGCATAGATTTTTGCTAGGGTCTGCTGCACCAGCAGCACCAGGTGCAGCAGCAATCACGTAGTGAACAACCCCACCACGAACACCACCATCTCCCGCCGCCTCCCCCCTCACAATCTTCAAAACCTGAACCCTACCAGGAAACAGATTCTCGCATGGGTACTTGTTTGCTAGTCCTGGAGAGAACCCCAGAGGGCTAGCTCGGAATAAGTCTGCAGGACGCTTCATTTTCTCCCCTAAACTTCTCAAGCTATCTTCTGTTGCTGCAACTGAAATGCTGACAGCAGGCTGCGGGTGCGGGGGCCCCAAAGACACTGCAGTAGTAGACCCTCCTGGGGCGCTCAAAGCAGCTGCACTGGGAGGGGCCCCCCACCCATCTCCAGCTAAAGCCAGAGGGGGCCCTATTTCCTGCATGCACAGCGCCCCTTCCTTGCAGTAGGGGGAGGCTACTGCCCTCTGAGCTATTGCGGAGCCGTCAGGGGGGCCCCCCAGGACCCCCGGTGGCCCCCCTGTTGCCGGCGTCGTCAGGGGCCCCTGAAATCCCCCATCAACTCCCCATGAAGCCGATGGGGGGCCCCTCATCGCAACATCGTTTCTAAAGGGCACGCATGCAACTACACCGCTGGGGCCCCCTCCTGCCCCCCCCGAAGCAGCCCCCCACCCTCGGTCACTTCCTGGGCACATGGGTGTCTCTGCAACAGGAGTGGCCACCTCCCCTGCTGCAGTGTTAAAGGAGACAGGGGATATGAAGAGCGAAGAAGAAACAGGGGGCCCCACAGGGGGCCCTTCCCCAGGGAAAGGCCCCCAACCATACTGCTGCTGCACGCTGTGCTCCGCTGGACGAACGCTTTGCAAGGGGGCCCCCTGAAGAAAAGGTGGCCCCAGGTCTTCATCACTTGGGTCAGTAACCGTCCACCCTGTGAGCCCCACAGGAAGGGGGCCCCCTCCTGTCTCCCTTTCAGAAGAAGACCTCCATGAGCTTGTTGGAGGCCCCGACTCATCTGAACGGCTGCCAGCCTGGGGGGGCCCCCCAGCCTCTTTCTCCCCCGTCAGTCTTAAGCGCTTCAATTTCTTTCCTGTACCCACGGCTACGTTCTTCCTTGGAGATTGACGGGCCCCCCGGCAGCCACTAACGGCAGTATCTGCGGGCCCCTGTTGGGCACAGGGAAGGTTTGAAGAGGGGGCTCCCCTTCGAACCTTGCCACCACCCCAAGTGTGGTGAGGGGGGTTCTCAGTTTCGCGATCACTAGACGAAGAAGCCGGGAGGCCTGAGTCTACTGTTTGAGGCAGCAGACCCTTTTTTCTTTTCTGCAACAAGCTGTCTATACACCGCCGCCTGCCGCGCACTGGTCTTTTCTGTCTGGTGCGCCCCTTTGCAAGACGTGGAGGAGAAGCAACAGAACTGTTGTCTGAATCCGTTACGAAGTCCTCTCCATCACTTCTGCTACTGCTGCTGCTACTGCTGCTGCTGCTGCTACTCTGCTTTGGACAGCTGAACTCCGAGCTGCTGCTGGTATAGCCGCTGCTGCTGCTGCAGCTGCTGTAGCTGCTGCTCTCGTGCGCCGTATCAGTTTCGTGGACAAAAACAGGTCCATCTGAAGTGCCTGTTTGCAGTGCAGCTCCGTCTTCTCTTGCATTTGTTTGAGTCGATCCCCCTCGTAATGCTTTTCGCTGTGCCCTTTTAGCTAAGTACTCTCTCTCCATTCGCTCCATTTGGTGTTTGAAGGCAAACCTGCTGTCCATAAGCAGATTCTTTCGAGACTCCCAAGTGTCGTCCTTGGGGCCGTAGCCCTGCCAGCGCACGCGCCATTCTGGGGTTTTTCCATTATAACGAAAAGCCACAAGTTTCTGTACTGTATAAATATCGGACATCTCCGACAGAGACGAACAACAACAAACAAACGCCCCAGCCAGACATCCCTACTTTGCATGCAACGGGGCCCCCGTCAGGGAATGTTGACTGCCCCTGAGGGCCTCCCACCTGAGGCAGCGTGGGGCCTCTAGCTGCTCCGCGAACCTCCTACAAAAGAAACCCTAAACTCTAAACCCTCTCTACCGGAAACCCTAGGGGAACACAGACGCCCAAGGCAGAGAGGCCCCTACCTGAAGCAGCCACCTAGAGCCTCTCCCCTTATTATCCAATCCGAGTTAAGACCTGCAACGACATCACCCAGCTAGCCAACATCCGCGAAGCGCATTTGAACTTACAGGGACCGGGGCGATCGGTGCGAAGGGCGTAAGGATATCTAGCGGTTCTGAAGGTGCATGCAGAGAAATGCAGCGGAAATATAAAAGGGGAAGATCCTTGTACAACCCCCAAAAACGAAAGCGACGAACGCCCAAGTGACGCCGTGGGGCAGCCGAGGCAGCTCAGACCCAGAAGGAAACCTCGAGAAAAAAAGATGTTTCTGCCGGCCTTTTGTGACAAGACTTGATGAGAAAATCGAAGACTTCTTTCTTCTTCAACAAAAAACAAACAACGAATCTTCTTTTAAAAGAAACGGAGCTGTGCGCCTATTCGCTATGCAGCGAAACACCTGCTACACTCGGGCCCCTGCTTGGAGTTCCCATTGACGAGGTCCCTGCATCCTCCGTCCTAGAAAGCTCGTGTCTTCTCTCGTATTTCACTTAATTTTGAATAGATGAGTCAGGAGATTTCATAGAGAAAGACATATTTACATAAAACTCCCGAATCCTGGGCGTCTGTACGTGTCTATGTTTGAGTGCCCCCGCAGTATCGTTGTGCAGCCGCCTTTGAATACCAGGAATGCGACTGGCAGAAACCCCGACTTCTCTCAAGGCTGCCAACTGGGTCTGAGCTGCCTCGGATCCCCCACGGCGTCACTTGGGCGTTTGTCGCTTTCGTCTTTGAATGCTGTAGCTAGAATCTTCCCCTCTGATTTCTCTGTAACTGCATGCACCTTCACAACCGCTGAACACCCTCTGGAAATTGGAGTATCTGTTGAGACAGCAGAGTTCGGTTGCGTTTTTTCGTGCCCGAGACAACGAACAGCGGTGCACACCGAGTTGGGCAGCATTATTGCATCTCAGGGGGAGACTGAGCCAGGAAAAACTTCATCTGTTTGAAGAGGAAGTTCATTTCAGCTGCTGCAGTTATTGTAGCCGCCTGCTTTTCTACTTTTGTGGGTCATGCAGCGACTTGACAGGCAATATGTGCATGAGATACACTGCTGGGGGAGAGAATCGACGGTGAACAGTCGGGGATAGGGGGCAGAACAAATAGCTTTCAAACACACTCTGCAGTACTGCACAATTATGCCGTCTCAACCCGCTGCATAAATGGCACAACACAACACAGCGGGCGGCTTGTTGAATGCGTTACTGGATGCCGGAAATGCCTACCATCGCTCGCCACGATAGATATAATTTGTGAACAAGAACACGTAATCGCTTGTTTTCTTCTGGAGGCAGTGGCAGAAGAAGCCCTTTCAGTGAGTAAATCTTGTGCAGGTGCAGGCACTGAAGCCAAAAACAGACGAAGCATCTCCTCACGCATCCGCAAGAGAAGGGTTGATCGAGGAATGGGCAGAACTATACCTCTGCAGGGGCCTGGTTCTTCCCAGCAGCAAAGTCGGCAAAAATTAGTTAAAGAGGCCCTACACAATGCAGGAGGGCAGTCCTGCCACCCTCCGAGACAAGATGGAGAGTGGGGAGTTGAAGCATACGGGAACTTTTGTATTTGCTCATCTGAGATATAGAGAGCCTGATTGACGCCGCATGCACTGTCATGAAATGCCGGCATATTGGTGTATACGGCCTCTGCCAAAACAGCCCCATTAAGAAGTGTCCCTGTTTCTATTTGGTGTGTCCGCATGCGTCATGAAGTCTGTCTGTTCATACGCATGCGTGCTGCAAAGTAGCCTGCTGCAACGCCAGCCCAGAGACCCTGAACAGAAGGGTCTAGAAATCACGCAGTAGCAAAGAAAGCAGCTATATTGATCCCACTTTTCCCAGTTGAAAGTTGAATGGGCAGCTCAGCAAATTTGTCAGACGGTATATGGTGTGAATCGATTTAAAAGCGTTTCCATCGGCGTCTTCCTTCTCCGGCATTAAGTGCAACAAGTTGCCTCTTGCTCCAATAATTCTTGTTTCTGTTTTTTCTTCCCCCATGAGGCGACGGAGTTCTGCATTAGTCAGACGGGCTTCTGCCCCCTTGAAGTGTTTACGTGCATGCACGTTTGAAGTGCAGCGGCTCCAGACATTGCCGCATTTCTGAGGCCAACCCATATTTACAGGGCATTCGGGCGAAACCTGTTTTGTACTGCATACATCCAAATGCAGTAGTAAATCCACGAAGCAAAAAAAGTACATAATCAATTGGTGCCACCAGGCCAGCTACTGCGGTACGGTGGTGGCAGCGGTGTCGCCTTAGTGAAACTTGTTTCTGTTTTTTGCCTTCTCCCACAGGTAAGCGCCTGCAGTAGAAAAGGACTGTGAGCTGAAGAGGAAATTTGAGTGAGGCGTAGGCTAGTTTGTTTTTGCGACATTCCTTTGAACAGCCTCCGCAGAGCGGACAAAGGACCCCACAGACACCCTGGAGACGCAAAAGTCTTAGTCGCTTTCCAATTAAAGAATTTCAGAAGCTTTTCTCTTCTCTTCTTCACAACACTTGCCCGCTATCGATCTCACCGATAGCCACTCAGGTGCCCTTGCTCCGCCTGAGCGATGCCCTGTAAATAACAAGAGGAGCTACATGGCGATGCAGTAGCTCAGAACATCGCATTTTAAATCCAAATGTTAAGCTTTTAAAGGCGGCGAACAGAGCATTTCTCCCTTCTACTTCCGTTGACGCCTCTTAGCCGTCTATGAGATGTGCTTGAGACGAGAGGTTCAAAGCAGTTAATCAAAAGCAAGAGCAACACCATTGATGCCAGTCGCGCGAAATTTTAAGCGCAACTGAGTCTCAACGCCACAGACAGAATTCAGGCGAAGCAATTGCTGCACCCTCTCTGAAGTTCTGTGTCTCAGCGTTCAAATTGCTGAAAAATCGAATTCCTTATCGCTCATTTTTTGAGGGCAATCGAAATATCACAACGGCTGACTCTCGGAGTCGGGAGAAACGCAAAGGCCTCCTTAACAACGAGGCATCGAGGGAGCAGGCGGCGTAGGATATTTCAAATCTTTTCCTGGTATGAAACTTTGAAGCTGGGCGCCTATAAGCCTAGCATCAAAGCAAGTAGGGCTATGCATTCAGTGACCAGGATCCCGTTGCCCTACACACGGTTCATTTCATCGGAAAGACGTCGTCACGGCCTCAAAAATTGGCCCCTGCGCTACGGACAGAGCCAGCGAGCCCCGGCACGACCCGACGAACTGCTTGCAAAATCAAACAGTCCACTGAAATTAATCCACACAAAGCTGGAGCTGGTTGTTGCTCCTAAGAACTGGTTAGTATTACATCAGACCAGCTGACGGTCTGCAAGAGGGGCGCTGGTAGAGGAGGTCCCGAAGGTAGCTTGAGCTTCGACGGTTAATGAGCTCTATGGGGCCATTTACAGGTGAACGCAGTATTAAATGCTTATTTGTATCCTTCAACGAACTACTTTTAACATTCAAAATGGGAAGCACACAAAGATCTTACGGAACTCGAGGCCCGTCACCTGCTTTGGGCGCCGTGTGCAGAAAAAACGCTGCAACAACCCTCGTCTTTCCAAAGCGAACTATTAGCCATTTCTATCCATTTGCTCCGTCAGTACGGGCTTTTCAGAAGCCTATTGTTGGGAAGTTCCGACGCCGCCAAAACACCCTTCTTTGTTTTATCGCCCCTGCTACCATGATAGTGTGCTTACTAAGCACACTGCCATGGTAGCGGGAAGTCTGAAACTGCCGAAACTTGCGCAGGACACCTGGATCTGCAGTAATCTGCAAACTATAATCAAGCGTTTTTGTGAGCGCGCAGCTTTCAAGCAGTCAAAATTTCACGTCTCGTAGTGAAGGGTGCGCTCGTGTCTTCCAAGCTAGACGCGGAAACCGTGTACACACCACTTGATTGCTATCCAAACACTTAGACATATATTTTTGTGGCTTTGGTGAATTATCTCATTTTCAATATGTGCAAAATGACGGGGTGCTAGGGCCTTCGTGGTTAGTCGCTGTCTTGCCCTGGTAGCCTCGAGACAGCAACCCCACCTCGCAGTAGACGTGTGTAAACTGGTGATGGGCTGATGGTAGTTGTCTGTAACATGCATCTATTTTACAATTGAATGCCGTGGTGTGGAGAAGAATTATTTCTTCTGACGGCTGTTGCTGTGGAGGCGCTATATACCCCACGGACGACCAGAGGGAGCGGGTGGCCACCAGGGATTGAGCAGCGAAGAAGTGAAGTTTTCTAGAAAAACGAGGAACTAATCGGAAGGCAAATTAAATTTCGTTGGTCGTAGTGGGCCAGGAACTGTCCTTTCTACTAAGTTCCAAGCTGTTCCCGGAAAAGATGGTTCAAGTTCCACCCGATTGCCCAATATGTTGCGAACCATTAACTGCGCATCTGGTCGCTCCATCGAGATGTGGCCATATCTATCATCAAGGGTGGTGCGTAATTAAGCAGATGTGCATTGACTAGAGCCGCTCTTACGCGAAGAAGCGCATCCTGGTGCTCCGCCTGGTGGGTGGATGAATGCTCTGGAATGGGGATTTTTCTGTCTCTCTGTATTTTCCTTCGCAGCTTAAAGCGCTGGTTTTCTTCTCCTAGCGGGACTTCAGGGAGACGTTGCCCAGTGTGCAGAAGTTCATGCAGAGCTTCCGAGATCGTCGGTCTTCAGTTTGAATTAGCTCAGCCAAGTGCAAGTACGCGTGTCGCATTTTATTCGTTTAATCATAGTTGGCTCTACCAGCAGCTAGTTTCCTGTCATGTGACAGCAAGGGACTAATTCTGCTCTTCTCTGCTGAAAATGGAGAGGAAGAAGATGAGATACTGCTTGGCTCCTTGGGTTGCTTCTCCGCAGACGTCGACGCTGCAGAAGAGGAAAGCCAAACTGCTGTTCTTCGGGTCAGCTCCATAGCTCATTCCAACCCCATCTCATCAGTCAGTATGTTGTATTGCAGACTGTAGAATAAGACAGTATACTGTTGTGCAAACAACTATGGAGCATGCAATGGTAACCTCTGTGCTTCAGACTCGCCTCTTAATGGCCCGGAAAAATGTAGGTGCGCTAATGAAGGCCGAAGCAGAACGCGTGAAGGAGCTGGTGGAGCTGAAGGTAAGCATACGTGTACAATATATAATATATATATTATATATAATATATATACCTGCATAGGCGGACATACGCATGTATACATGCATATATATATATATATATATATATATATATATATATATACTTGCAAGTACAATCCGGTTGTACTCAGGATTATGCAGGCTCTTCCATTTCTGGTCAACATGAAATTCATATATATATATATATATGTCGCGCTGTAAACTTAGTTTTTAGTGGCTGCTGTAACTCAAAAGTTTGGCTTCTTCTGGGAACCTGCCGCCCCCTTCGTAGGACGTTTGAAAGTTTTTGCTTGTTTCTCCGGCCAGAATGCGTCTATGGGCTGCCTGTCTGTGTGGCAGGACCGCGTGACGTCGCTTCAGCAGGAGGTGAGCTCTCATTTATTGCGAGCGTCCCAGGCTGAGGCGCGCGCGTCAGACTTTCGCTCGCGCCTTATTCGGGCCCACGCCAGCAGGGAGCGTCTTAGTATAGAATTGCAGCAAATAAAGAAAGAACTTGTCTTTGAAGGCACCAGGAAACATTAGTGAGGCTTCCCCACGGGTGCATGCATGACCTGGGACAGTATATAATGAACTTGCAGAAATTGTATGTAGTGCGTGCATTGCGTGCATATATCATGGAATCTGGGTACCAGGAGGGGACAAGTCATCTGCGCCACCTTCGTTCCTCAGTGTTCCTTCTTTCTCTCGTTGCATGTTTCCGCTGCAGTTTGGCAGAAGCAGCCACGATGAGCGAAACGAAGGCGCTGGAGTTTCTTCAGCAAAGAAGCGGCGTAAGCGGGACCCTCTTGTGCTGCGTGGAACACTGCACCTACGCCTTGAACCCGCAGAGGACTTGTGTGAACGGCTGCTTGGGTTGTCGCAGCACCGTCCAGCTCGGTATATTGTGCTTGCCAGCTAAAACAGGATATTAGGAATGCAAAGAAACATTTGAATCAACCCACTTGATGTTTCACTGGGGACGCTTGTGGTCATTGTAGGAGGACATCTCCAGTGCTCTGCGGCTGCAACACAGCGTCATTTGCGAGCTTCAGAGGTGAGGAAAGGGGAATCAGGGGTGCATTCTAAAGTGCCTACTCCGTCACCACGCAGTAAAAGTAGGCTGTTTCTCTTCGCGTCAGTGATACAGGCGAAAGAATGCATTACATGCTTTTACAACCTACTACGACCGAAAGGTCCCTTGAGAGCCCACCCCTGTGAGGTCTTCTTCACCGTTTATGCAAGCAACACACTTAAGCGAGGGCGTTGGCTGAGAGACAGATGTGGCGAAGTGTGTGTCGAGTATTTTCAGTGAAAATGCGCGGTTAAAATCTGAAAAGATGGAGCAGAGGCGGCATTTTAAGGCGGCGATCCAGCAGAGAGATTCTGTCATACAACGGTAATTAATACCTTATCCACGGAGGGACAGCACATTTTCCTGTTATTGTTAACTTGTGTGCAACCGCCGTTCTGCCTCCTCCTTTATCTGTGGTTTGTTGCAGCTTGGGCACAACTCAGACGACGCCTGCCTCCTCTCTCTCGTGAGCGCCATTTGCTTGAATTGTGTTTGAGAGGCAAATTGCAGTTCGTCTTCAGTATAGCGTAAGGGCACGCGTGCAGTGTAGAGACAGCAAGCAGCCACACCTGCTCCGTAAGGTTTGTTGGGTCTCCTGCAGAAGCGTGGTAGCGAGAGGAAACGAAAGGGGGGCCCCAACCACACGACAGCTGAGACCCTCGACAGTTTCTCCCACCACTCCTTCCCTCAAAGCGATGGCGCCGGACACGCCACGAACCCCCCTCAGGTGTACCGACATGAAGGCTTCCACCTGTCGGGAGCTGCGGGTGGCATTGAGCGGGGGTACATTGGCGGGTCGGCGGAAACGTGGCGGCACAGACACTCGAGACGCTCCCCACAAGGCAACTGTCGCTCGGAGCGCTCCTGTAGCCTCCTCCGCTGGCCCTGACTCCAAACCGCACGCCGTCAGCGTCCACTCTTCCCCCAGAAGCACTGCTCGTCTGCCCAGTGAACCTGGACCAGGTGCCTCTTCAGTTACTCGACCGAAAACCTATTCTGGGCCTTCGGCTGGCACCCAAGGAGCCTCTAATGCAGCTGCGGCCTCCAGAGCTGCTCCTCGTTTGCTAAAGAGTGCAACGTCAGATGTGAAGAGCCGCAGGGGTCCACAGGCTGGGGAGACACATGGCTCAAAGGCAATTTCACTAACGGCTTCAAACTGCCGACCCGTAGGTCAGAAGGTAAAAGAACGTACAACAGAGATAGCCATAAAGGAGGTCGTAGTTAAATGCCCTGAATGCGTGTCAGTGTTGGGTGAGGTTGGAATTCGCATGCGCTCGCTTTTCGTTTCGTTATTTCTACTGACAGCTCTGTCTTGGGTCTGTCTTGGGCTGTAGCGCTGCAAGCCCAAAGCCTTAACCGAGCTGTTTAAACGATTACTATGTGGATATATGTATGTATGCCAGTGATTGTTTTATTTCAATGTGCATGCGTATGTTCACGACTGTAAGTGCACTTAGGCCTCGTATGTGCGTAAATATTTGTATGTAATGCTATGTGCGTATGCGGAGAGATAGGCGTACCTGCGTTATACGCACATTCCTGTACGCGTAGTTGTACAAACGTATGAACGTATGATGTCGTTCGTACACTCATATGTACACAGATAGATATGTATGCAGTCAGCCAGATTCTGGTGTGCCTCGCTGATCTTCATGAGGGAATGCCAAAAGTCGCGGGTTCCTTCAACCTGCCTGTCGCGGTTAATTCCCTGTGGACTAGATAGAGTAAATACACACCGAAAGAATTCCACAGAAATCGCTTCAGAGTTTGCTGAATGCCTGGAGATGTGAATCTTAAGAGGTTCGGACATTCGTCCCGCGTTTGCGTATTGTTTTTCTCATATTTTCTTCGACTTGAACTGACGAACAGTTAGTTTTTTCAGCCCGCTTGCCTTCGGCATTTCATATATATATATATATATATATATATATATATATATATATATACACGTATGCACGCACGTACGTATTCATGCATGTACGTTTACACGCAGTTAAACAAACGCTCACAACAACAAGCAAGCTTAGACATTTGGTATGGGCATGCGTTCAAGCACAGAAGTTCTTTCCCGTGGCTTGACGTATGCTTTTCCCAAATGCAAACAAATCAGTGTTTGTAATAGTCATGTTTGTGCATGCCTTCGCGTATCTCCACGTTTCTGCCTCCGCATGCGTGTTCATGTAATCACTTAAGTTCTTTGCTCTGCAACTTGAATTCGAAGACAACCGTCCCGCCAGGAAGGATTTGCTGCACAAAGTTGCAAGGTGCAAGCTAAGCAGGCAATTCACACATGCTAAGCGGCTACTGCTTCAACGAGGTATGCAGCATTTGATTGGTTTGGCTTTTGCAGTTCCCGAACTGCGGTGCATCTAGCGCTGAGCTTCATCTTTACCGCACTGCTGAAGAATCGCTGACTAGTAACCAGCCCGTCTAGCGGTTAAATCAAATACACGAGAGGACTCTAACACTTTCCCAATGGGGAATTAATTAAGAATGTAGGAACCGCGAAATCAAAAGCTGAATTCTCCCTTCCGCACTAGTGCGCACAGCAGCCCGTAATCGCCTCCAGTATGCACTAGACGGAAATTCATATTGCGTGCTTTGCACACGAAAAACCACGGATATTGACGATGAACCCATATCAGGAGCTCCATGACAAGCAGGCGAAAGGGAGAACAATTACTTTGCCTACCAAAGTCTGGTGGAGTTAAGGGCCATCGTTGCTCATTTCCGGCGGCTCAAACTTCTTGCAGATCCCCTTCTAGGTTGCAGGAGCACGAGTCGTCGAAAGCCCCTTCCTTCTGCTCTAAGCGGTTACGGTTCGATCTCACACATCTGGCGGCCACCCTTCGTGAGGTGCATTGCACTGCATTACCTACCATTAGGGCGCCTTAGCCAAGAAGTAGGAGCATCGCTCAGCTATATGCATTAAGAAGATGTAACACCTATTCCCAACCCACAAAGGATTGAGGACACCTTTAGGATAGCAAATGCATGCCTGTTATCGCACTCATTGAGTGGGTAAACTAATTGATGACCCGTCGTCTTGAGAAAGGAATGAGTCAGTGAACGGTTCCGTAGGTCTTCTACTCCCGCATCCAACTGTGTGAACTAGTTGCACGACAGCATTAGGATAGGTTCAACTGGCTTTCCTTGAGAAGATGGCTTTCCGTATCACTGTTCCACAATTCTGACCGCTCGCAGAATTCATGGCGCCTCGCAGGTGCGGGAGATGAACTTTATATGTCCCCTCCCCACTAGCAAACAGTGT